AGACTTCAGCCGGCGTCTGGAGCGTGGCAACCCGTGCAAGGATGTCGCGGGAGAGAGATCCCATCAAATAACCTTGGAGTTGTTGCTGCTGTGCGTACCAGAGAGATCTCACAAAGTTTACCACCTGTTCTTCTTCACCGTCCTTGGTAATAGTGAGGCTGGCCGGCGGTGCCGGGCTCTTTGCGTCGAGATGATGTTCCATCTACGCGCCCTTGATCTGGGGTAGGACGATGGCCTTTCATAGCAGGAAGTTGCCCCTCGTCAGCTTCTCTTGCGGCGGCGATCCGAGGAAGGAGTTGGTGGAGGTGGAGGTGGATGATGACGCAAAAGCGGAGGAGAAGGTGGTGGTCAGCACACCCATGGTGCTGAGTGTCATGGCGGCGGCGGTGGTGGACATAGTTGCAGTCGCCTGGGTAGTTAGATGCGATCTCTACCCAATCTATCGAGGAAGAGGCTCTGTTACCATGTAAAACTAGATGGAAGTGGCTTACAAGGGAGAGATCGAGCGAAGGATCTTTACAGAGAAAGTCGGTAGAAGAATCAGAACAGAAGAAGAGATAGAAAGAGATTACAATTTAAACACCTTTCCTATCTCTACACAACATATTCTAACATTCTGGAGCATGTGCTATTCCTGGAATAACCTGAATCGTAATTATTAGAGTATACTTTTAGTGTTATTTTTTGCGTGAAGATTGGGAGCTTTATTGATTAGTAAATAGGATTACAATCCATAGCCAAAAGGCAAAGAAGATTCTCGGGGGCATCTTGTAACCACAAGTCGGTTTGATGCTCCGAGCGCGAAAATTTAGCTAGAAAATCTGCAACCCTATTCTGAATTCTATCTACTTTCATAATAATAAGCTCCCTCTCCTCAAAGAATAAGTTTCTCAACTCTTGTATCAGGTGTCCCAAGCAAGACCTGTCCGGCTTCGTTTCCTTAATCAGTTTGATTAGGTTTGAACAGTCTGTTTGGAGGACAAACGGACCGGCAGCATATCTACGCGCCATCTCCACACCTTCCTTTGCGGCCATAAGTTCTGCTTCCAGAGGACCCCGACACCTAGATAAGTATTGGCATGACGTGTATCAAATCACCAGCCGAATCACGGATCACTAGACCTGTCCCTGCGTTCTTCTCTTTGTCACGGTAAGCACCATCGACTGTGATTTCAAGGCACCCCACAGCAGGCGGTGGCCATTGTGCACGAGCACTGGCATACCTCTCCTTCACTGGCTCTTGTAGGCTTTCTTCCATTATACCTTTTCCTTTCACAGGGTCCCCGCCGTCCTTACTCTGCACCTGAATTAGCGAACACATGTAGCTCGACAGAAAGGACCTTGTTATGTGTACAGGTAGCACTGGTTTATCATGTACTTGATCGTTCCTGGTCTGCCAATTCCTCCAGATAATCATTAGCACATTTCTCCGCACTCTCTCATTAACTCTGGCAAGAAGATCAAGCACCCATTCTGGACCAGTATTGATCAGCTCATCTTGTTCAGGTATTTGCCATTCATCTCTCATGGCCTCCCATACAGCATGTGCTTGAGGGCACGTAACAACTGCATGGAAGGCATCCTCAGTTTCTCTACCACAACGCACATACACATCCATGGTGTCGAGGTGGCGAGACTTCTTTAGTTGCCTCGTTGGCAACCCTTCCTTCAACTTTTAGTGCTATTTTGTTGCTAGATAAATATAGCACTATTCTGGACCATGGAAACGGCTCACGATACTGTGAAATATTTGATCAATCTTACCCACAAAATTACTATGATGCTGGAGTTTTAGTGGTGGGATTCTCTGTTTCTGTTGAGCATATGGCTTCATGCAAGTTGCAATTGTGATAACTAAACAACAGATTGCTCAAAGTTGTTGTAGTTCTGTTTTCTGGGTAATGGAGATTTCCTAATTGATAAGTATGTTGACAGGAATGACGGGGTGGCGGCTCCCTCGGCGAAGGGCGCGACGGGCGGCAGCTCCCTCGACGACCCATGGCGAAGGGTGTGACGGGCAGCTCCCGCTGCGTAGGGTGTCGCAGCTCGGCGGCTCCCGTGGCGTACGGTGCGGCGTCTACCGCGGCGTCACGACGGGCGGCTCCATCGGCGAACAGCGGGGCGGCGAACGGCGCGAGGAGGATGGGCGTGCGGAGGCCCGCTCGTCGTGTG